CCCTTTTTATTCTTATCTAGAGCTAATGAATCAGAATAAAACCAAATAAGCATGCTAAGAGCACAGTGTTTTACAACCATAATGATATTTTAGGCAGCCAGAAATAAAATTGTGTATACAGTGTGTACAGGATGGAGTCAGGCAAAGAACAGAACAAAAGTATGTCTACTCTGTTCATGGGCTCTGGGTTTTTTGTGGAGACTAGATGGCGCCATGGATGGAAAACAAGAGCCCCTGGGCCCCTATTTAACTTCTCCTTGACTTTCTCATCTGCAAAGTTGGAGAAAACCCAGACCCTACTTTTTTTTGGGGGGGGGACTGGGGATTGAACTCAGACCCCTTTGCTTGCCAGGGAAGTGCTTACTCTACTGAGCCATCTCCCTGGCCCCCAAGAACCTACTTCTAAACATGTGAAGTACTCATGGAAGTGAAAGGATGTATAATTCAGTGTCATAATATGAGTAGAGTAGGGAACAGTGAGGGTAACAGTGGTTTATGCCCCTATCCCTGCAATCCCAGCCCTGGGTTTGACCCTCAGAATGGCAAAAATAAAACCCAAAATCCAAATTAAACAGACTCTAAAGCTAGGCTGCTTGGGTTCAAATCCCAGATTCACCATTTGTTTTTGGGAAAATTAGTTAATTTTTTTTCTTTTGTGGTACTGGGGATTGAACTCAGGACCTTATACTTGCCAGGCAGGCACTTATTGTACTGAGCTATCTCCCCAGCCTAGATTAGTTAACTTCTGAGCCTTTGTTTATCATTCAAAAATTTGGCAGTAATAGTACCAATCTGATAAGAGTTGTGAAGTTTGAGTTAATACATATGCATAGTTCTACAAACAGAACTGACACAAAATAAATGTTGTACAAATATTTGCTATCATGTTTTTACTTGATTCCTGGAAATCTTCTAGCATTGTAAACACATGGAAATAAAAACTTTAAAATTTCCAATATTTTGTTAGTCTGGTTCTGTTAGGTAAAAATTAAACAACAGGGCTAATTGCATCATGTTGGGGTATTTATTCCCTGCTATGTTGGCAATGTTATCCATAAATTTTTTTTCTCTCTTTTTACAAGTAGATACCAGTATATCTTTTACCAAGTCTCTGTTGCCAACACTGCCTCCTTCCTTAGACTCAATGCCATTCAATTAATCTCTGTACTTATTTTACTCACCCTCTGAATGCAAAAAATTCGTGATTTTTCAAACTGGCAAACAAAAGATTTCCACATATTGGGAGGATGATGAATGCACCACACATTTATGCAGACAATTTTTGATTTCTGCTTCTCCTCCTCTTTCCCTGAAGCATTCATTTTAATGCTTCTGCCATTCATTTATTCATCAAGTATTTATTGAGCAGACTTGTCAGGCATCAGAACAAGTGCTGGAAAATAATGATTCTGCCACTTGAATGGTGTTTTACAGCTTAGAGTTCAATTTCACATATATTAAATTCATTCAATTCTCAGAGGTACTCCCTTCACCCCACCTGTGATTCCTCCCCCATTTAGCTTTATATTTCTTGTAGTGTCCCTCATTCCTTTTCTCCAATGTTTGGTGCACAGTGCAGCACTAGCTGGGAAACCTGGTTGGAAGAGCAGGAAGGAAGGAGATGGGAATGAAATGAGAATTTAGATCCAGAGGTTCCCGGTATCATCCACTTTGGGATCAAAGGACACAGTGTTCGCAAGGATACTATCTCCTTCCTAGGAAAGGATAGAGTCATAGGAAAGAACCACGCCAATAACATACTGTATCTGCTCCCATAAACCGAGTTGGAATGGAACACAGGGCTAGTAGTTTTCCAAATCCTCCCGATCCCCTTTCAATAAGCATATTTAACATACTGGACATGCTGAAGTTATGATTCATCCTCCCCTATAAACACTCAGGCCCTCCATCCCCAGAAACAAACTTCCTCAATTATATTTCCTCATATATTTTGTGATACCAACCAATGGGTGAGGAACAGAACACACAGAATTAATTTCTTAATATTAGTCTGGCGTTAGCCATAAAGTTCCCTTCCTGTTTTCTTAAGGCCTTTGCCCTTTCTTTTCCCCTTGCCTAAAGGATCATTTCTTGTCTCACTCAGCTGAGTTCATTATTATGCCTTGTGCAGAGCCTGGCTTCTATAAGGAAACGCCTGGTTTGTGGAGGCTAGGTCAGGAGGGGATCACGCTGCAGACAGGGTCCTCCTGCGCACAAGCACACAGTGTCTTTCACGTCTGAGTCTGTGTCCAGGGATCATCCCTCAGGAGTGCTTCCCAGGTTCATGGGACCCAAGTGGATGATTAATTGCATGAACTAGTGGAGGCGCCCTCAACCTGCTCCTTGTCCAAGCTCCTTGAACTCGTGAGCTGCCACCTGGGTCCTCTTCCTCCATAAGGTCACGTGACTAACTCTTCCTGAGTGTTCAGCTCTAGTGTTCACCCTCATGGAGAATGCTTCCACTCTGTGTAGACTATTATTCCCAAACTTATCCCTCTATCTCAGTTCATTAGTTTATTTTCTTTCTGACATTTATCATCATCCGAAATGCACTTATTATCTGTGTCCTCATAAGACTGTGAGCTCTAAGAGGGCAGATTTTTTAAAATAACATACTTACTGGAACACAGTAGGCCCTGAAATTAATGAATGAACATTAGATACTGTATTTACTGAATGTCTATAATAGGTCACCTTTGTTCTAGACACTGCTAAGATAGCAATGAATGAAATAGAAAAGTCTCTGGACACCGGAGTCACATTCTAATGGAGGGAAAAGGACAAACAACAAAGGGAAGACAGATGGGGAGCTGTTAGAGTGGGGCTGCACTGCATTGAACAGGGCGATCAAGAAAGGAGACCTGGATAGAGAAGAGAGGCATGCAGACAAGGAGACAAGTGGGGCTGGGAAGGAGTCTTTCGGGCAAAGGGAAAAGACAGGGTAAAAGTACTGAGAAAACAAGAAGTGGGTGGTGTGGCTTATGCCAGCAAAGCTTCTAAGAGGGAGGGGAGGGGAGGGTGGGGCAGTTCCACTCTTGCTATGGTCTTGTAGGCCACTGGAAATTTTTTGGATTTTGTTCTTGTGTGAGACTGTAAGCCACTGCAGGGCTCTGAGCAGACTGGCAAGTCTATCTTAGGTCAGTATCCCAAAGGGGACAAGGGTGGAAGAAGTTTTCAGACCCATACACTAATCCAGGAAAGAGGTGCTGATGGCTTAGTTCATGGTGGTGACAGGGAGACAGTGATGTTAATAACCAGAAAGAATCTTGCAGGTGGAACACAGGATTTACCAATATAACAAAGAAATGGTTACAAAATATAAACACAGGGCCGGGGAGATGGCTCAGTGGAATAAGCACTTCTGTGGCAAGCACAAGGGGCTGACTTCAGTCCCCGGTTACACACACACACACACACACACACACACACACACACACACACTATATGTATAATATATAATATATAATAAATATATATATATATATAATATATAATAAATATATAATATATAATAATTAATATATAAATATATATGATATATATTAAATATATATATATATATAATGAATATAGAGAAAGCTTTACTTGGATTTCCAGCAAAGAGATCCATTTCATTAGGCCCCTAATGTAACAAACTCATGCAACAAAAACACTACCCTCCTAGAAACTCAACACCAGAACTTGGAACTTTTAAGCCATCTATTATTTGTCTGAAGAACAGAATACAAGCAGAGTGGCAAAATACTTTCAGCATCAAAATCTGTACTTGCAATTGAGTTGGTTTGGGGCTTGATCTTAATTCAGCACAGTGACATGAGTGTGGTAATTGTTCAGCAGACATAAACATTTCAAAATGAAAATGACACTCACTCGTGAGGAGACTGCAAAAGTCACAGGACAGTTACACAAAAGGGTAAACATTTGGTCAAGAACAAAGATCTTGCCGGATGCACCCTGACTGAAGGCCTCCACTTCAAGCTGAGCCTTCGCCTCCTGCGCCGCGTCCAAAGCACCTTGATTATTCAACTCTGAGCCTCACCAGCTGGCACCAGCACATAGCAGGTACACAGCCAACATTCACGTGCTTTCTCCGTATCCCTCTCTATCCTGTCAGTTATCAGATAGTCATGAATAGGAAACTTCAGAATGTGCTGAGAGCAAAAGCAGGGAGTGTATAGGCAACCCGGATGCCCCTTTCGCCCAGCTGTTGAGAGCAGGCTTCCCAGAGAGGAGCCCAGGTGACTGCAGTCTGACCTTGAAGTGCAACCTGCAGGGGGCAACAGAAAACAAGACCTCTGCGCATGCAAGCATCAGCTAAGCAAGGTGGTGTGCGCCTGTAGTTTAAGCCACTCTGCAGGCAGAGGCAGGCAATGACAAGTTTGAGGCCAGTCTGGGCAATGTAGTCAGACCCCTGTCTTAAAATAAAACAAGGGCTGGAAATATAGCTCGGTGGTAGAGAGCTTGTCTTGGGCTCAATCTCTAGCATATGCCCATGCCAGACCCAAACAAACAAAAACCATATATCCCTCCCTGAAGTCTAGGGAACTTAGAATAGACCGAAACGATGGTGGTGAGAGGGAGGCAGAGTCGCCAGGGCCTTTGGTAGGATAAACACGCAGGGGCTGCAAGGTGGTTTAAAAAATTACATTAGATTTGAGTTTTTGGGCGCTATTCACCGATAATCAAAAGGACACTTCAGCCTTATTATTGCCCTTTGCTTTCAGGGAAAAGTGACTTGGTCACCCCCATGGGGAGGCACCCCAAGGCCATCGTTTGCCATTTCAGCTCAGTGTTTTGAAGCCTCCCAAGCAATGAGTTTGATGCTCGACCCAGAAAAATTCTGAGAAAGTGTCCTATGGCTAGATCTGAGGTTGTTCTTCTGTTTCTAGGGATTTTTCTAACCTGTATGGCAGCAAGATGAGTAAACTCTGGCTGCTTCCAGGCTGAGCTGGCCACTCTGTCTCTCCGGCTTTTTTATTTTTTCCTCTCTTGAGAAATTCCAGGGAAGCGCGTATTCTAGTGGCAGGAGGACCCACTGCGGCACCACTGCTGCACGGTTTGAAGCATCGAGTTCCTTAGTAGCCGGCCCGAGTTAGTCACGCAATTTCCACTGGCCAGGCGGGGAACGCCAGAAAGTTCACGTCTCCCTCCAGCGTCCCGGGTTGGCAGGGCAGGGGACGCCGCGACCGCAGCTCTAGAGAACGCCAAGCAGTCTGCCAGGTCTGGTACACTCCGGCAGAGGGAGAAAGTTGGGCGGGACAGGAGGGGAGCGCGGGGCGTGGAGGGAGTCGGGGGTCCCTGGTGCGCGATCGGGGTGGAGCCAGGAGCACTGCGTCCGCCCCGAGGACGCCAAGCGCTTCCCCGCGCTCCCCTCCCCCTCCCGGGGGGCGAGGCTCTGCCGCTCCGCCCGCAGCCGCCCACGCCTCCTCCTGCGCGCCGCGGCGCCGGGCGGGCGGCTCTACTTAAGCCGCGCGCTGGCCGGGACCCTGCACTCGCCTGGAGCGCGCGGCGCCGCGGAGCTCTCGGGGCGCACGGCGGCGCGCTCGTACCGCGCAGCTCTCGGCGGCGGCCGGGGTGCAGGGCTGAGCGAGCGTCCCGGAGAGGCGGCTGCGGCTTCCGAGCGCGGCTCCGGTCCCTGCCGCTGGCCCGGGCGGGCGGGCTCTCGCTGCCATGGCCCTGGCGGACAGCACGCGCGGATTACCCAACGGGGGTGGCGGCGGGGGTGGCAGCGGCTCCTCGTCCTCCTCTGCGGAGCCGGCGCTTTTCCCCGACATCGTGGAGCTCAACGTGGGGGGCCAGGTGTATGTGACCCGGCGCTGCACGGTGGTGTCTGTGCCTGACTCGTTGCTCTGGCGCATGTTCACGCAGCAGCAGCCGCAGGAGCTGGCCCGGGACAGTAAAGGCCGCTTCTTTCTGGACCGGGACGGCTTCCTCTTCCGCTACATCCTGGATTACCTGCGGGACTTGCAGCTCGTCCTGCCAGACTACTTCCCCGAGCGCAGCCGGCTGCAGCGCGAGGCCGAGTACTTCGAGCTGCCCGAGCTCGTGCGCCGCCTCGGGGCGCCCCAGCAGCCGGGCCCCGGGCCGCCGCACTCTCGGCACGGGGTGCACAAGGAGGGCTCGCTGGGCGACGAGCTGCAGCCGCTTGGCTACGCGGAGCCTGAGCAGCAGGAAGGCGCCTCGGCCGGGGCGCCGTCGCCCACGCTGGAGCTGGCTAGCCGCAGCCCGTCAGGGGGCGCAGCGGGCCCGCTGCTCACCCCGTCGCAGTCGCTGGACGGGAGCCGGCGTTCCGGCTACATCACCATCGGCTATCGCGGCTCCTACACTATCGGGCGGGACGCGCAGGCGGACGCCAAGTTCCGGCGGGTGGCGCGCATCACGGTGTGCGGCAAGACGTCGCTGGCCAAGGAAGTGTTCGGGGACACCCTGAACGAGAGCCGGGACCCCGACAGGCCCCCAGAGCGCTACACCTCGCGCTATTACCTCAAGTTTAACTTCCTGGAGCAGGCCTTTGACAAGCTGTCGGAGTCGGGCTTCCACATGGTGGCGTGCAGCTCCACAGGCACCTGCGCCTTTGCCAGTAGCACCGACCAGAGCGAGGACAAGATCTGGACCAGCTACACGGAGTACGTCTTCTGCAGGGAGTGAGCGCCCTAGACCCTGGAGACTTCAGCGCCCACTTCCTCTCGTCCTTGCTGGGAGGGGGGAGGGGGATAATGATAGCTGTCCCCTCCTGCCCTCTGCTCCCTGGTTCCTTCTGTCCCATCCTGTAGCTTGTCCAGACCTGTCAGCCTCCACTCAGAATCTGCAACCATAAATCCTCTGGGCTTGGCTCTCCTGACTCGGCTAACTGAGATCCCACAGGCCTAGTCTCCACCCCATCTTTCCTTAACTTCTGGCCTCAAAGTACCCCTCCCTCAGATTGTACTTCAGTATGGATCTAGTGGGGCAGCGTGGCCACAAAGTCAGCAAGTTCCTGGGAATGATCGAATTGGACGGTGCCCAGTGTGTGGAAGATGCCCTGAAATCTCAGCCCTTTTGACTCATTTGCGTTTCAAGAGCTAGAACTGATATGAATAACACTGTCTGGGATCGTGGGTGTTTTTGTTTTGTTTTGTTTTTGTTTTGTTTCTAGATCATTGCAATCTCTTTAAAAGTAATTTTTTAAAAATGGATGGAAGCTTGCGATAGTGGAATTAAGTGCCCCACAGAGGCAGTTCAGTGACTAAACGATAAAGTTTTGATGAGTTGGAGGTTGAAGACTAGTACAGTGAAGGACTGGATGTTTTGCACACACAATAGGTCTTCATCTGTGGTTTAAACTGGTGGAAAGAGAACCTCCTGCCTGCGGGGGCGCCCTTTCTCAGGATCCTGCCGGAAGCCCTGGGCTCCATGGTATGATAGGGCAGCCCTACTGGGCAAGCAGAAAGGGCACTGGTGGCCTCCTAAGTGGGCGAGCGCTATGGGGAGTCCGGGAGTCAACTGCCAGTGACTAAATGCAGCTGGGGAGTAGTGCACGTTGTGGGCAGTAGGACCATGCAACCCTTAGATCTAGGAAGTGGGGTGGGGTGGGGTGGGAGGGAGGAAGGAGGGGAGGAAGGGTGGGAAGGGAGGAGCAGACATACTCATTATCTGGAAGTTGAAGGTTTGTACTATCCTTTTGAGTATGTGCACGTTTAAAAATTACCAAGCAGTAAGCGCAATCTTGCAAAGCATTTTATCTAGGTTGGTAACAGCCCTACTCTTACTTGGTAGATTATTGAACTGTTTTGAGCCCTAAACTTAGTTGTCAGTACTTGCATAACCTAACCAAAGAGTTACCCAGTAGGTTTTATTTTTTACTTTTTGGAACTTCTGTTGTATGATTATGAATCCTGATCTAAAAAATTATGTACTTGGGCAAAATGTTTGGTTTTGGTTACTTAGACTTAAGGTTTCTTATTAAAAAAATCTTAATTTTCTCCAATCCCAGCTAATGTTGACTGCTGGGCAAACCTGAAATATGTGGTTACTTTCATGCAGTTTGTTTGAAAGTAATGTTGAATCTTTTCAAGTCACAAAGGTGCAGAAAAATATAAGCACTGAGGGCTGCCCATCTGAAGATAGCTCTAAAAAGGAATATTTTTTAAACGAGGGCAAATAAACACTGAAAGGTAAGCTGAGCAATACAGTGGTGTTTGAGCTAAATGCAACAGCAACAGGAGGCCTGGTTACCTTATGCCTTTACTCTCATGTGGAATAAATTCCCAGTGTATTTCTTCTATACACCTTCAGAGGGATACAAATCCTTCTCATGCAGAGAGGCACCCTTTGGGTAGTGTGTGATGATGGAGAAGCCTTTTTGTTTGTTTCAGCATCTTCTCTGAAATGTTTTTAAAGATTTTATAAGAGTTGTTTTCAGCGTTTAAATTAGTACTATTTTTTCTTTCAGAAAATGAATCTTGTACTGTAGCTTACTGTGTTCATGACAGATGTTACAAATTGAAACAGTTTTATTCGTAGACACATGTGATTCAATCTGTATATACCATATATGAACATTTTACAAGAATTATTTAGTTTTTTAATTCATTTACTAATGCTATAAAATTTCCTATATTTGTCCCCAGTAACTTGCATCAAATGGTGTATATAACTAAAGCAACATGTTTTGCTGAGTTTCTTATGTTTTTGTGTTCTTATGGCCAGAAAGAAATACATAATTGTAAGCTGAGTTTGGTTTGTGCCATACTTTTTTTTTTTTTTTTTGGCTGGGGTATTAGTTGAATACTTATCATATGTTCATTAACTGTCTACTTAAAACCAAGGTACCAGTGTTTTTAATCCACTAATTCATTTTAATTTGGAAATAGAAAGGTTTAAGTTCTAGCTTCATATTTTAGAAAAGTTAGCATTATATACAAAGGCTAATTTTAGCAGAAACCTAGGAAGTTGTGTTTGGCTATATGTTGGTTTTCTCTGACTAATCCATCCAAACTTTGTATCAGGTTTGAAATGGTTGAAGTCTGTCACTCACTGGGCCATTGTGTATCACAGATATTTCTCCAGCCCTATGACATCTTTGTTAGATAGCTCAATAAAAAAGCACAGGATTGCTATCAACTTTAGAACTGATCAGAAATGTTGACAGATGGCACAAGGCAGTAAACCTGGTTCTGGTCAGGTCTGCTCAACTGCTAGAGGCAAGTGCTAAAGTTTTGTCTTTGCCATTCAACTCTTACAAGTTTTACCTTGTAAAACTTTGATTTGAATGGCTGCCCTGTCCTATACGTCTTAGGTGCCCCACCTTGACCCAGCTCCTGAGTTTCCTACATTATGTAGATTGGGAGTGTATTGTCAGGGCCAGGAGACCCGCCTCTTTTTCTGAGAGTCTCCAGGTCCTCTGAGGATAGGCAGTGCATGAAAACTTTCTGTGTTCAGTAGTAAAGACTGAGTGCGCAACTCATTTTATGTTGAGTAGGTAGTATAACTAAACTAGACTCGAGAACTCTTTTTCTCCATGTGCTCTGGAGTATAGGAGGAGACCTTAGGGTTTACCAAGTGACCTGGAGTGTTGGTCTTCACCCTTGATTTGAAATAGGGTACCCAGTGTCCATGTGAATAAGCCTGGAAAGATATCATTCAGATTACCTGGGAGACTGTTGTAAACTGTTCAGGTAATTATGACTGTAGTAATCTGGCTCAGAGAGGCAAGCAGTCACATATGTTGCTCTAGTTAGTATTTGGTGTGCATAAGTATAATCAAACGAGATTTGAAAGGAATTGGTGATGGTGATGGTTAAAAAAAAAAACAGGTACCGTATTTTATGTTTTTGCATCAAGTGTTTGACACATTGCTTTTTAATATATGTAGAGTGTGAACCATATTCACTCTAGTTTTTCAAATACCATGCTGTAGAAATTTCCTTAAAGATCTGAGATTTAATTTTTTTCCAGTTTTAATACTGTTTTTATTCCTATGTTTCTTACTTGGATTTTGGATTGCTAGCAAAGTGATAACTCACCAAACTTGTCTTCTCTGTTATACCAGTTTAAGATATATATATATATATATATTCCTTTGAGGAAATGAATAATGTATTCAAATAAAATGGGCAACTGCCAGTGCTCATAACACATTCTAATTTTTATTGGAATTTTCCATGGAGTGTTATTATTACATTAAAGCCATGTAAGGTGAAGCTTTGATATTTTTTTTTTACTGTTCAAACTAAGGTAAATTCGAAACTTACATAATTTTGTAATCCTATCTGCAAAATGATAAATTACAATGCAGACATTTAGAAAAATATTGATTGGAGGGATTGAATTCCTGAAGACTTCTGTTTATAGTCCAAATTGCAAATACTGTACACAACTGACTTGTTTAAAAAATTGCTGAATTTTTAAAATTATAAACCTATCAGCGTCTATCCTTTGTTTGTAGTTCCTGTTTCTTCTTTAATATGTCATATAAAACCTGAATTAATCTTTTTAGATGACCCAAGTCTGTCTCAAGAAAGAAATAAAATATAGTATCCTTACTACCAGTATCTTTAGTACCCGAAATAGGTTTTCTTATAACTAGAAGCAAGTTATGTTAAAGTTAACTTTTCTTTGTCAGAATTTTGGACAATAAGAATCTAAAAATATTAATTGAGAATTTAGATTCTGTACTAATACTTGAGGATTTAGATGGAAGAAATTCAACCAGATCTCTACTAGAGAATAATCTTGTGTGGAAAGAAGTTGACCAAGAATTCTTATTACTTCTGCATTTTGTAACTTTTTCCAAGCTAGTTTTTAAATTCTAAATGTGTTTTAAGGTATGCAGACATTAATTATAATGTAAACAATTATACAGCTGTCTTTGTGAATTTATAGGGAGGTGAATTTTCCTAATAGTACTGAATACAAATGATGAAAATTCACTATAACCCTCAAACACCATTAGTAACTTAATGACAAAAGGTAAAAGCATTCTTCATGGATTGAATTTTGAAAATGTAATTTATATGTTGTTTAAAATTTTCCAGGCATCTCAAAAACTCATTTTATAAATACAATAAGATTCTCGCAAATCTCTGTGGGATTCTGAACGTGTTGAAGATTTTATATGTTAATTAATACATATCACTGAGCCGTTTTCTCAAAAGGGGAGAGGGGAAAAATTCAAATCTGACTTTTCTAACAGCCAAAAAGAAAAAAAAATCTCTCTCTCTTTTAAAAAAATACTGATGAAGTCTTTTCAAAGATGCCTGGATTTTGACAATTTCTTCAGTCCCCTAAATGCTCTGGAGATTCTTGTTTTCCCTGTATAACCGAAAATAGTCAATGCTGTTTTCCTGTCTGTTTGTGAAGTAATGAACCATTGATTGTGTGACTTGTTATGTATTGTATTAAACACTAAAGAATAAACCATTCACTCTTTAATCATTCCTCTTGGCTTCTTGGTATGGATCTAAGCAAACACTAGTTAAATTTCATGTAAGGGGCTCTGAATACTAAACTATTGCTTTCCAAACGGTTGTGGGAGCAATGATGAGCATTATGCTATCAGATCTCCTGAATAATTGGGTGACTGGGCCAGGCATGAACTGGTGCTTTCTCCAGAGCTTATTGTCAAGAACACTGTCTTAACTACTGTTCTCTCATTGCTGGGACAAATAGCCAACACTCAAAATGAGGGAAGAAAAGGTTTATTTAGCTCACAGTTACTGGAGGTTTCAAGACACTGGAGGAGAGGCTGGGGTGCTGCCATGACCAGGGTGACTCCACACCTCTGAGAAAGCACAGGCCAGCCAGTTTAAAGGTGTGCACCTCTCTGGCCCCACCCCTCAGGCCCAGCCCTGGCCCTCTGGTCCTGCCCCTCAAAGCACTCCTTGCTCCTCCAGCCCCATCTGTCCATAACTTAGGTGAGGCTTTGGGGGGGACAACTAGACGAACCATAACAAACACGCAGGCAGTTTGGTACTCACTGTTGAAGGAAAGCCCTCCACAAGCCTCAGTCTTTGCAGATTATACCGTTGTTGGGTGCATGGAGACTAGAAATGGCATCTTACAAGCAAGGCAATAGAAGTTGTAAAATATGCCTTAATTAAAAGTACAACACATGAAGATAAGGCTCTCATGAATGTTGAAAAAAGACACACACGTTGGGCACAGGAGCTCTTTCCTGTATGGGCTCCAATTTTTGAAGTTCTTGTCTTTAAGGAGGGTGTAGACTGGGAAATTAGAGAACCTGGGTCTGCTGGTTAAGGCTTAGGAAGCTGGAAGCTGGGTGGGCACAGTAAGCCAGGCTGCGCCCTTCCTCTTTTTTGTCTTGTTGCCTGTACTTCCTCTGGATAGCTTTTGTTTTGTATGTATAAACATATATGGCTAGTTATTATTTGCAGTGCTGGGGATCACATGCATGCGAGGCAGTGCCACTGCTGAGCTGCATCGACAGCCTCAAGTGATGTATGTTTTGAAAATTTAATATATACGGTGAAAAATTTAAGCAATGTAAGAATATTTCTGATAAAAAATGAATCTCTGTGTTCTAGCCGCTAGTTTCCCCTAGGGAAACAGGTATATCTTTAC